TAGTCAGGTCTTGGAAGCGAATGCTACCAAGGCCTGTGTGGATAGGCTGTTCTACTTAGGAATTTTATATGCCAACGCTCGTAGTCTACGAAATAAGTTCTATGAACTAGAAGCATTAGTGGACAGATTAAAACCACTCATAGTAGCAGTGACAGAAACTTGGTTAGTCCATGACTTAGACATTACTCCAGAATTATCCGGATACCATTGCATCAGGAGTGATAGACATAGATGTAGAAAAGGAGGCGGCGTCCTGTTATATATAGCCAATGGCATAAATATCCGCTCCTCTACTAGCGAATCCCATGATGGCGGCGCTTGTGAAGTCATTAGCTGTAAGTTAGCTATAGGATGTAGTACATTTACGCTAGGTGTCATTTATCGGAGCCCAATCTGCTTAGCTGATGACTTTGTTTTAGAGCACATTCATCTTGGGAGTGATAATACCAGGTGCTTGATAATAGGAGACTTTAACGCACCTGATATTAGTTGGACTGATATGACCACAGAAGGATCTATAAACTCCTTTGATAGTAGGTTACTGATAACAATAATGGAGCATGCACTAGTGCAGCATGTATCCCAACTCACACGTTTTGGTGTTTACCAGGGTTTTTCTCTGCTGGATTTGGTAATCACTCGTGAGACTGAGGATATTGTCGACTTAAATATTCTTCCACCGTTAGTAAACAGCGATCACGCTGTTTTGTCATTCGCGTTTAGAACTAGGGACATGTTATACGATCAGGTTACACCGCGCCCAAATATATGGAAAGCTAACATATCAGCCATTCAGGAATGCGTTGCTAAGACAGATTGGTTAGTAGATACTAGCATATCGGTTGAAGAAGCATGGTCTGTATTTAAAGGTAAATTCAGACTAGTTACGTCCCCGTTCATACCATACCTGGTACCGCGAAGACTGAATAATAGTCCACCATGGATAACTAAAACGGTCAGGAAACTCCTTAGAAAAAGGAAGAATCACTGGAATATGTTCATCTCTACTGTCTTAGAACAATACAGATCCAGTTATTGTAAGATTAGGAATGCCTGTAAAGCGTTAATAAGCAAGACTAGACATTCATACGAAAAACAATTGGTTAGGGATTCTAGATATAGTCCGAAACCGTTATTCTCGTATATAAAAAGGCGAACTAAGAGAAGCGATGGAATTCCATCACTTTTGATACGAGAAAATCCGTTAATCTTAGCAGAGAATGATGCCGAAAAAGCTGAAGCTTTATCGGAATATTTTAGTAAAGTGTTTTCTATCGGTAATGAGGAACGACCAATGATTCATCGTGACCGTGACGGCTCGCTGATGGATCCTGTAGTCATTGAGATACTGTTTTAAGGCTACTTCAGAATCTCAAACCTGATAAGTCCAGTGGTCCCGATGATATTCATCCTAGGATTATGAAAGCCATATCAGGTGAAATCTCTGAACCATTAGCGATACTATTCGACATGTCTCTGAGACAGTCCAGACTTCCTAGAGACTGGAAAGACGCCATAATAAGTCCGGTGTATAAGGCTGGGAGTAGGGATTTAGTTAGTGACTATAGACCCGTTAGCTTAACTAGTGCAGTTGTGAAACTGATGGAGAAAATCATTCGGATAGCTGTTATAAACTATGTTGAAGGGCAAAATCTTTTCTCCAGGGTACAACATGGTTTTCGGAAAGGCCTATCTTGCTTGACAAATCTTCTCATTGCACGAGAAGAGTGGGCTGCGGCAAAGGATCGGAATGCTCCTGTGGATGTAATTTTCATAGATCTAAGTAAAGTCTTTGATAAGGTTTCACACTCTGGTCTTAAATTCAAACTGAAACGTTTTGGAATCCATAACACAGTCGTCGATTGGATAAGTAACTTTCTCCATGACAGGAGACAAAGGGTAAGGGTTAATGGGGCTCTCTCCTCGTGGGTACCTGTAAAAAGTGGGGTTCCCCAAGGCACAATCCTAGGTCCTCTTTTTCTACTTTATGTAAACGAATTACCAACTATAGGAAAATCATCCGTTCTACTCTTCGCTGATGACATAAAAATTTGGAGATCCATACACAGTATGTCGGATAAGATAGTATTGCAGAGTGATCTTAGCTCATTGGTGGCATGGTTGGACAGGTGGTCGCTAAAAGTAAATCCTAATAAGTTTGGTGATGCAATTAAATAACTATGATGAATCGTATCACTATAAAATATGTGAATTCGTGCTACCCAAAGTAAGAAACTATGAAGATTTAGGAGTCATATTAAGCAATGATCTCAAAACCACTAGTCACTGTAAGGCTGCTGCTGCAAAAGGCTATAGGGCATTATGGTCAATTCGTAGGTCTTTCCAGTATTTAGATGATGAAATGTTTGGATTACTATACCCGATTTATGTGCGACCACATTTAGAATACGGGATTCAAGCAGCGAGTCCTTGTTTCAAATATGAAGCAGATATGCTAGAAAGAGTCCAACGACGAGCTACTAAGATTGTACAAGGTCTAGCTGGCCTATCTTATGAAGACAGACTGAGACACCTTAACTTATTTCCGTTATCTTACCGTAGAGTACGGGGTGATCTAATATTGGCTTATCGTATACTGAACGATGACCTTGGTATTAACATGCCTTATCTTTTGCTTCCGTCTAGAACCAATCATTTGAGAGAACATTCGAAGAAAGTTCAAAAACCGAGATCAAACCGTTTACGTCTGGAGTTCCGTTTCTCGCACCGAGTAGTGAATTACTGGAATTCCCTACCGGAACACGTAATATCAGCACCGTCTGTTAATATATTCAAAACGAGATTGGACCTCCACAGTATTACAAACTGCAAGGATTAATATAGGTCGACAGACCTCCTATCCTTATTACTGAAGACTAAAGACTGAAGACACTCAAGGTTCTTAGAGGTTAATTCAACTGATTGCGGTGTAAAGCATTCGAAGGTCGAACTGGTCAGTAATAGTTATATCATTTTCTTGTTCCTTTTATCAGACTGTTTCAATTTCATGACTTCATGATTGCTAACTGCTTTTAATTGCTTACTTTACGGAGATTTATTGCATTTTTGTGAGCTTGTTATGTCGACTTACTTTTCCCTCATCAGCTCCTCTTGCACACGCTTCACTTGCACCCAAAGTAGCTTCAAGCTAGACAAAAACCACCACAAGCGTGTATCAGAAACAGTGGCTATATCTTTTCATTTCAAACAATTTGAATACATGTGCTTAGGACTACTAATCCTGGTCAAGTTCTAAAATATAGAACCCCTTAACTATAGTTAATCCAAGCAATATTTCCAAGTTCTTCATGAAAAATCTTGCTACTTCCTGAATTAAATAATATTTCATTTCCAAACACTTAGAACTTCCTGTCACATTTGTTTTTGAATAGTTACATCCCACATATAAACCAGAGTTGTTACTAGCTAGGTACTATTGTTTACATATGGGTTTCAGTGGTTGCAACCGTTTAATTGTATCTTAACGTCTAACACTGTCAAACACAAGCAACTGACCAACTCTGACGATTAGTATCGGAGAAATTTAGCGGGAATATGCGTACAGTGCCTTGAATTTTCGTGAAACATTAAAAGCGTTCATTTCATTTGTTCTGAGAAAAAATCATTCTCATTTCAGGATACCTGATAAATTTCCCCATCAAGCTAAATGTTTAATTGAAATATTGACACCTCCAAACTTTCTCACAAATGAAACAACTTCCTCAGTGATATTCGTTTCCTCTAGTGATTTGTAATATTGTCTACACTTTGAAAACAATTTCATTTTATGAACTGTATTAGCTTACCATTCATTTCGAATGCCTTTCCTCCTAACGAAGTAATTATTTCTTTGTTGGCGGATTCTTTCAGATGTCGGACAGAAAAATACATAATGTCTTGTAGGAAATTTGTTCTCGGTGAACAATAGAGCTTATAGATAGTGCAGAATTTTGCTACAGTACTGTCCGGTGTTAATATTTACTCTCTCTATAGCAAGTAATATGGCTGATCATTTCGATCTCTTGTAAAAGTATTCACAGACCTTATGACCAACAAAACCTGCATCATATTTTGCGTAGGCAGGATATCTATGTGAAATATGTTCTGATACTTAGGATATTCACAGGTTACTAATATTCGACCTTACATTTCTTCATGTATAGTGACTTTTCGTATTAAGTGGTGTTGAAGTTAAACCTAATATCCTAGGTAAGTATAGAAAGTCGGTGAGTTAAACTAACGTAGCTGGGACGCGTTACATTTCCTCAGCCACTGTCTACCTCATTTGGCAATGCTAGATACCATGTGATTGTGATGAGATGTTAAAGGATCTCAAACCAAGGTGTGGCATTTGTCAATATCCAGACCTTATGTTGAAAACGACTGACTTCATGATTTTCATTGCTGATGGATTAGTTGACTGCTCATTCACGCAGTCATCAATGGTCGTTACCATTATAGGTTCTATGACTTAGATATTATGGTAAGTTTAGTGTCGCCTGCTTTCAGTATATCGCTCTCCTCACAATGGCGTACCTTATCCAGGAGTTGGACGTTTTGAATTGGCACATGGTATCCAAATATATTTTTCGCATATGTTAAATTTCCTAAAAATCCTTGCTAAACATGTAAACACAACGAATACGGTTGTTTAAGTGACAATCGTTAAGTGAAATAACTTTGTTTAAAAAAGTTACACAATCGCTTATGTGTATTGCTTTTTACTGTTACTTAAAATTATAACTAGTGTATTGTAGCATTTGTATGTAAACACTTGAAATCAGTATTCTTTTTACCATAATCTCATTAAAAACATTGGCTTTAATTAGCTAAACCTTATCTTACATCTACAGGTTTCGTTTGTCTTTTGACAGTATCATAATGAATCGTGGTTTAACTGATGCCACTATAAAGTAATTTTTTGCTAAACTAGATAATTCTTAGGAATCATTTACAAGCAAAAGATTTAGTTGTATGTAATGAAATTTCTACATCGTTAGATGAATTTAAGTAGGTTTAATCTTTCTCCAAGATCATCTTTAGAAAATTCCTCACTCAACAAAAAAAATATCGTGAAGAGTTGGCTGGCTTGTCTTATTGTGAATTAATCACCTTACGTGATGATCTCAAAACTGTTAGTCAACAAGTGTCTTCTTCAATATCCAGCCTCCGACATACATCTACAGCAATTTCACGCTTAAAAACAGATGTATTAAAGGTGAGACAGTGTTCGCAATTTTTTCGAATAACGTTTTTATACAAGGAGGAGAAAAATGCTGGCATAGCCCATAAAACATCTGAACATGGACTGAGTATTAAAAATGATAATAATGAACTGACAAGGTATACAGTTATAAACAAATTATTCTAGATCTAGTTATTTTATGAAAAAGATCTCTGAATTTGATACAAGAATCCGATTGTATAAACATGAGTTAGAGGTATTTGAAGAGAATGTGTATTCTCAGCCATTGACTCCTATGACTCCACGAGGTAACTATTTTCTTGATATAAGTACATTTTTATATTACAGACCTTCTTAATATTCTGCATCTAATCGATCATGATTTTATCAATCTTGCTGCTCAGTTGTACACTACACATGAAAACATAAAGGTATGTTTGCAGTGTTTATTCTTGTTAGAGCAGTGCATTGTGTTATTCACATAACTATTTACAGATTTGTTCTTTATCTCTGAAGGTGACTGCTAAGTTATTTGCTAGTCTGGGGTTTATTGATAAGTGTAGAAATCTTAACTAAAATCTACAAAATTATAGTTATTTGTAGTTGAAGCCAAGTGATCTAAAGCACTGGTTTATTAATCGATATGTTTAGCCTTCAGCCTGTTCGCCTTAGGTTTTAAATCCGCCTCATTTAGCTTGGTTTAGGTAGCAAAGTATTGTCGCTACGCTTTACGCAAATAGTTCAATGCCAAATATACAAGTATATACATATATTTGCGAAAATTATGGTTGTTAGTTGTACCACGTTTTAATTGTTTTTCTCATTTCTGTGTAGGCAATAAAATCAAACTACTTAAAAAAGTATCGTATGTGTTATGGTTCAGCCCGCAATCCATTCGGCGATAATGATGACTTTCATTTCAAGAGTCAAATAGAAGTTGATAATTTATTTGGAACAGGATTAAGTAAGGGAAAAATCGGTTCATCATTCTCCACTCCATATGGTCCTTCTCCATTCCCAACATCAGAAACACCTACTACATCCAATTCAATCGGTAGTGTTGAAAAAACTTCAATTATTCCGTCGGCACCTTCTACTACAACTTCAAGCAGTGTATTGTCGAATCAGCAGTTTGGTATAACTTCATCTTTCCAGCCTGGTATGTTCACGTACAGTAATTAATATTTCCTAATAATCGACACTCGTAATAATGACCAGTGATTTTGAAAGATCTAATTTACCTAACTGTATATAGTCTAAGGTTGACCGAACACTGAAACTACCATATAACGATAAGTGTTTGTCAACAGGATTCTTATGATAGACGAAACTAGTTAGATCTAACTATGGACAAAATATCAATAACAAAGCTAAGTCAAGTGGTTCAGGATTAGCAAAGAATCACTCATTTTCAAAACGGATAATTTGAGGGTAGGTACGGTTCACCCCTATGGTTTTAGACTACTCGGCAATGAACAGTGAGATGGAATTATCGGACAAATGCATAAGTATTAGTAACATCAGTGACAAAAAATCAGGCATCAACGATGATTCGACATGGAATAGATTCCTAGAAGACAAAATAATTTTGGAGCTCGGGAAGGTGAAGTGGATGCTTCTGCATCATTATGACGAATCCTGAATTGTGTTACCCAACATCTCTAACTGCCAGTCACAGTAACTGCCGCAACTAGATAACCTGGATTCGCACAAAGCAAAAACTTCCCTTTATGTCAACACAATTGTGTCTATAAATTAAGATGTCGATTGTGGTGCCATCTATGTTGAAGAGTCATCTATCTTGTGGAATCTCGACTCGAGCCAAAGAAGATCTAAGGCACTTAAAGAAATCGCCTAATAATCCCGTACAACTAAAAAGACTTCCAATTAAATCGGCAACAGCAATTCGTGCCATTTTTAATAACCATCAAGTCGATATCAAAGACACCAAAATAATACAAAAAGGCTTTTCCAACTACAAAGAAAGACAAGTAGCCGAAACTCCATATATTGTTTAATTCTACTGCCCTCAATAGAAAACAAGGCCTCACTATCCATCCGACTTGGACCATTTATCCGAGCTACCTTGTCTAATTCTATCCACATCTCACACCATTATTATACGCACAAATTCAGCTCCACTCGTTCGCACCACAATTATCTCATTTTTTCATCCTTTAACATACGTACACACGCACAAAAGTCCAAAAACGCTTCATATAAATCACCTTGACTGGAATTAGATTGACCTGGTCAGACCTGTTTTTGATTGATCGCACCAAACATTCCTACTTTGTTCCTTTGAACTATTTAAACTTGGGTTAATTTAGTTTATTTCTTTATTCTCTGAAGAAGTGGCTCACACCGAGTCACAAAATTCGAGTTTTCTACTCATTGGGATATTACAAATATATAATTTTTATTAATAACAATCTATCCAATGTTCAATTTATTTGAAATTATCAAGTCAAACCTTAGTAATGGCACCTATCGCAACATAATCGTTTGACATCGACTTACAGTCAGATATTCTTAAATACACCAATACCTAATCGTATCCAGGTTTACTCAAAACATGATTTCTATCTAGAACAAAATGCTTATCATAAAATTTACTCTGAAGTATTAACAACTGTTAACTCAGTTCTTTCTATCTAGAGAATGATCTTTGTAATTGTTCTGTCTGATAAACTTCTTGTTCTCCATTTTTCAGCATCCTCCGTACTTTCACAAATAGGTTCATTGACTGGTGGAGCTCCTGCTTTGAATTCAACTGTTACAACAGGTTTAGTCAAACCAGCATTCGGATTTCAATCACCACTAACTACTTCAACAACAAGTTCTGTTGGTAAAATTGGACTATAACTTCTAGTGTGGAAGAATTGGTTCCATTTCTAGGATTTTGAATCAAAAGTACATACCAGAAAATTTTATCTATTTTAACGTGTCTAGTAATGCATATTCCGATAGACTTGTGTCATAAGTGTATATACATTTTTTCGTATCACTAATGTTCATTTATCTAAATGACTACTTACTTTTGTTCATTCTTTAAAAGAAACTAGGGTAGTAAAAATAGTAGCAGGATTCAAGATACTAAACCTTTGTAAGTGTCGATTAATTCATACGATCCAAATGTAGTGTTTTGCATCCCGTAACTAATAGGCAACTAGAAGCTATTAGTTTATGTTATATTGCATTGAGACTCAAAATTTAGTATATATAGTTCATACTTAATAAATGAGTAGTTATACACTATACTATGTCGCAATTAACAATCGCTCAACAATAAACAATATGAAAAGAATTGAACTATTTTAGAAAATAATAACCATATACTACAAATAAAAGCAATCTATTTTTTATATATAGACAATTAATGTACAACAGGATTAAGAGGTTCAGCACGCAGTTGTGAAAAATCAATTCGCCTGTCTAGATCTTCATCAAGTTCTCCGACTACAGCCCTGAAAAATAGCATAATACAAATAAATCTTGCATTATATCAAGTTTCAACCTCAGAAATAGTAATTTTGTAACTAACTATGGCTTTATATCACATTGAACTTACACATTCTGTCCTCGAATAATAAATAAACCCAATGGAACTTGCTCAACACCTTCAGTTGGACTGAAAACTCTTTCATGGCTATCTTTGATAACAAGATTGACGACATTATCAAATCCTTTTAATGTACCCTAGTAAATGAATAATTTTACTAAGATTAGCGAGAATGACAAGGACGGTAAACAAAATAATACATCATCAATCATATAGAAATTCATGTATTATGTTATAACCCGTATATCGTTAATGAATAATAAAAAGCTTTATTAGATTCATCAGGAAAATGTAGACGAGGTTATATAAACGAAAAACTCCGCCTGTAGCTCTTATAGGGTTGCTGCCGGTCCCAAGCCCGGGTAAAGGAGGAGGGTTGGGCATGGGGTTAGCGTCCCCATCCCGTAGAAAACTAACTCGCTAAAAAAACGCTTGTATAAACGAAAAGATCATCATAGCTTATCGGAATATTTATACAAGAATATATATAAATACTAGATATTGATTGACGGGAGAATTTGATGAAGAAAGTGTACAAATTACTGATTCCGAAAAGAGATGAATCAGTCGATATTAAAAGGGGGTAGGTTTAACGATTACGTATCATAGAAGATTCGATTAGTTGTTATCAACGGAAAAGAAGGGAAAGATGACATTAACTCTAAATTCGAGGGAGTGTATAAAGCTCACACACTACAAACATGCTTTATATGAGTAATTTTAATTTCTCTGATCTTTGTATTTCATTGATAAAACTAAATATTAGTAGATGAACTGTCCTCTAGTTTATTGATTCATACTCAGTCTACCCTGGTATATTAGACAGGCTTTTGTGTTTGTCTAAGCTACTAATTAACTGTTGTTGTGGTTGAGCTCGATAACTTGTATGTTATTTTAGCATAAACTAATTATTTATTGTAGGACCATCTAGTATTTATAAATATATTCTTGTATAAATATTCGAAGAAGCTATGTTAGTCCTTTGATTTATACAACCACCGTTATATCATCTTTGTAAATCTAACAAATTCTTAATAGATTGAAATCATGAGTCAGTTGAAGCTAGACCACCATTGAAAACCTGGAAGCACTGGACGGCCGTTTCGTCCTAGTATGGGACTCCTCAGCGGTGCGCATCCACGATCCCGCACCACGCGGGGCTCGAACCCAGGACCTACTGACTTCGTCCCATACTAGGACGAAACGGCCGTCCAGTGCTTCCAGGTTTTCAATGGTGGTCTAGCTTCAACTGACTCATGATTTCAATCTGTGAAATTTCTAAAATCTCCACAAAACCCATTCTGATAATAATCAACTGCTCACTAGTGACTGACTTCAGGAGAAACTCCCGAAGTTCTAGTGAGAAGCCGTTACCAGTGGAGTTCAACCAAATCTGTTGTGAGATAGGAACTCACTGAAGACAATGGTGTACGGTAGCGCAACTTCGTGGATTGGTTGAAGTTAGACATTAACACCGTTGGACGCCAGCTCAGTGGTCTAGTTGGTTAAGCGCCTGGCGCGAGACTAATAGGTCCTGGGCTCGAATCCCGCGGGGGGCGTGATCGCGGTTGCGAACTGCTGAGGAGTCCCATACTAGGACGAAGCGGCCGTCCAGTGCTTCCAGGTTTTCAATGGTGGTCTAGCGTCAACTGACTCATGATTTCAATCTGTGAAATTTCTAAAATCTCCGCAAAACCCATTCTGAAAATGCTTAATAGTTGAAATTGATTTTGTAATTATTTAAATGACACGTATATTGCAAGTTGTTGTCTTTCTATCGCAATGAATTATTATTTCATTCACTCATAATCTAATCTTGATTATTCTACCTGTAAAAGAATATTTCCTTCCTCATCCATTTATTACCGCTTTGCTTTTGATCGTACATTTTCTCTTGTGTATACTAACATTTTCACGTTTGATTATTAATTTTTTTTGGAACAATTTACTTAAATTGTTTCCATTAATTACTAGTATTCTAGCTCAGTATAACTATGCTACTACTTGTTCAATTTTTGTTTGTTTTATTCGGAATTAGCACTTCTTTTGACTGTTTTTTTCTGTGGCAAACGTGACTCAACTAAACTGAATATCTGGAAGCACTGGGAGGCCGTTTCGCCCTATTGTGGGACTCCTCAGCAGTGTGCATCCACGACCTCGCCCTCCTGCTAGACTCGAACCCAGGGCCTACTGGTTTCGCGCGCGAGCACTTAACCACTGATCCGGCATCCAATGGGGCGAGGTCGTGGATGCGCACTACTGAGGAGTCCCACGATAGGACGAAACGGCCGTCCAGGTTTTCCATGGTGGTCTAGCTTCAACTGACTCATGATCTTAACCATTGAAATTACTATAATATCCACAAAACCCATCTGATATTAATCAACATATGCTCACTAGTGACTGACTTCAAAAGCTATTTCCTGGAGTTCTAGTGAGAAGTAGTGACCAGTAGAGTTCAACCAGGTCTGTTGTGAGATAGTAACTCACTGAAGACAATGGTGGATGTATCGCTCAATCTCGTGGATTAGTTGAAGTTGGACATTAAAACCGTTGGATGCAGGCTCAGTGGTCTAGTGGTTAAGTGCTTGCGCGCGAAACCAGTAGGTCCTGGATTCGAATGTCTCAGGGGGGCGAGGTCGTGGATACGCAGTACTGAGGAGTTCCACAATAGGACGAAACGGTCGTCCAGTGCTTTCAGGTTTTCCATGGTGGTCTAGCTTCAACTGAATCATGATCTTAACCATTTAAATTGAACACATAAATACATGCAATTTAAAATACTCCACTTACCACAATAGTTCTTCCATCTGATGTTATAACATTTACCATTCCTGGTACATATAAAGAAAATAGTTAAAGAAAGTAGAATTTCTTAGATGATAAATATGCAATATTAATATTCTGTTTACTGATCCACTATAATTGATTGCATGTACATTCTACGAACATAGAGTATACATGCAATATTTGCTGAATACGTTTAAAGTCATTGTAACGAAAGTAAGCGAAATTAGAAAATAACTTGAATGAAAGAAAAAACTAATATGCATAAATTACAAGATTTAGTGTACAGAAGGTAACTTTTATTGGCCATACAGTCGTTTTCGGCTGGAATTTTGAATTATCTAATCTGTTAAGAATTAACAGCTATGTTAAAACTATGAGCTGAGTTAAATGGTGGTTAGCAGCAAAATCCAGGACGCGCATTTCTTATGTGGGACGTATCAGCTGGATATATCTGCATCCTAGAGTTGATGCTTACTTTAATCTTCAAATCCAGTACCGTTCACTTTGAACGTCAATAGGCTACTGAATGCAAATAGCCACTAGCTTGTGTAACGGATCCTGTTGCATTCTTTCATTTACCTAATTAAAAAGATGTAGTAAGGTCCTTAAATGAAAAGCTAATGGATTTTGAAGTTATCAGATAGTTGGAAAAAAACAACGTAGGCAAATCAACGTAGAATTGTACTTGTCTAATATGTGCATACTATTTCACATCAATATAGTGAAATTATATTCGCAAAGAGAAGGCAAATAAGATCAAATGGATGGAAAGGATGAAATAATATGATTCAAAAAAATAAAAATATATAGCTAAATGATGTAGCAAGAAACCACTATCACTACGTCCTCCTCCTCCCACTAATACTGTGGTTGATTTCGAACCAATAAACACCAAATTTTTAACCGACAAGAAAAAGGATACGACCAACATATGCTTCTAACTCAGACGCCATAAATCAATACCTAAAAAATGCAATAAATCAAAATTATGAAATGACTGAGAATTCCAACAAAAATACATCAAGAAGAGTAAATAACAATAAAATATATTTAGCTTCCTCTGAAATGTGAAGGTCTTCATAGATGGATCCTCCGAATCCACCAATCCGGTTAAAGTACCCGACAATCGTGCTCCGCTCTCCCATTCTCACTACCAACAACCCCGGTTTAAGAAGGCAGTGAGTAGAAGGGAGGGTTGACTCTCCCGACCCTCGACTGGACCAGGGAATTTGGGGCCCTAGTCCATGTTGTCGCATGATATCTTCATATCCGGTGTTGTCCATTCCGACTTTGGCGTTTAGATCTCCCATCAGGATAGTCAGGTCGTTTCCTGAGCACTTCGCTATGATCGATTGCAGCCTCTCGTAGAACTGATCTTTATTATCGTCATTGCTATCATTGGTGGGTGTATAACACTGGATAAGATTCATTGTGATTCCATCCTTTCTTGTTTTGAAAGATGCTTTGATAATCCTGGATGCATCAGATTCCCTTCTTATAAGTGCTTCACGTG